TGAATGCATGGTATTTAGGTTAACGTTTTTACTTTTGTCTGAAACTTATCAGTCAGGTATCAGATAATTATGGTTTCACGTGTTTATAACTTTTGTGTGCTAAATAAAATGCAACTTCAGTTTTTACACATGTTATTAGGAACAGAGTGAAAGAAGAAATTGTGTGAACTACAAAACAAAAAACAAACAAATAAATTGAAAGCTGTAGTCGAAGTAATGTAAACTTAAATGTGTCACATTGCTCTACCTTCGCTTTTCCTCCTTATTCTCGACATAATATTTGATTTTGAAGAGAATAAATATTTCTTTTAGATGTCCCCTAAAACAAAGTGACTGTTAACGTGAAGCATTTAATAAAGAAAAATTAAATATTCACTTTTAACCACTGGTGGTTAGTAAAAAAGTGAATACAGCCTAATTCAAACCCTTGTTAGACAAGAGTTTTTCTCTCTGTGTATGCCGACTTATAACTAGTGAACAGCTGGATCGATTGACACCAAACCCTGAATGTACCCTTACTGATCCCTGAGGAGTGACATAGGGGGTTAGTTGCTCGGATATGCCCTAACTATGTCACCCCCACACCAGAGAGAGACTGTCATCTCCATGCGTTGAACGTTACATCAGCTGGTGTTTTTATTACTATTATTATAACAAAACGGAGTGTGAATTGAACAGCTAGCAAAGGGCTTGGCTTTCATGCGCACTTAAATATTTTTTGTCTTGTACCGCTGACAGTAATATTTTTACCTAGTTATCGATTACGAAAACACTTTTTTGAAGTTGGATCTTAATTTTTGTCGCTTTCAAGTAAACACGTGGTCTAAACTGGGACTATTAAACGACCCAGGAATGACCAACACGACCTTTTAACTAATTTACTAAATCGTTTAAAACAATTCTTACTTCGCAGCAATTAGTAAATAGACGCAGAAGCGTTTGTTAGTCATCTGATCAGGTTTATATTATTAAGGTGACACATACACCTACCGGATGTGTACTCGCAATGTTTTTTAATATTTTGTTCATTTATGAAGATAATTAAAATAGGCAGTGTGACAGGAAAAAGGTGGATATAGCAGATAGCCCAATGTGGGGCTTTGTTCTAAAACAAACAACCACTCAACTAATAGGAAAAAAAATACGTTCTTTTCTAGTGCAAATATTTATAAATTCGGTAATAGATAGATGGGGAAATTTATATGAATTTATGAAAGATATTCTGAAGTATAATTTGTTTTGTATAATAATTAAACCTCATGGTATTCAGTGCTATACAGCATTCTATTTACATTCAACCTGGGATGAGTACCACACGTGTGCGTATCATCGCTAAATGTCAACGAAATCTTTTTGAATTTCAGATTTATTGTTCGACATCTTATGGTAGCACGTACGCATTGATAGTAAACCTATGCTGTGTGATAACTACGTAAGAAAGTACGATGTATTCTCGTCATATCAGCCGTGTCCCCCTGGTGGCTCAACTGTAAGTAAGCTGCAGGGCTTATAACTTGGAATTCCATCCCCGCGGCGGAGACAGCATAGATAGACCGTTGTTCAGCTTTGCGTTAAAACAGCAACGAACGTATCATTTATAGGTTTACGTCTACATGTAATCACTATGAATGAATAATCTTTTCTTTACCATGATTATCTTAGTATTGTTGAACAGTACATATAACTTTCAGTTCCATCTCTGTAGTTGCATGTCGACTTTGAAAATAAAACTGTTTATTTGTGTTTGAAATAAATTCAGCCTTACTTCACTCATTTTTTGTAGAACAGTTTTTATTTTTAAAGGCAAAGCTTTTTGTTGAGCTGCACACGTTAGTTAGAAAAAGAGTGAAAGTTTAGAAAGTACACCCAGGTAGACAGCATACATGATTTGATGTAGAATTTTGGGTGCAAGGTATTCTGATTAGACTTACCATACCACTAACTCTGATTACAAAAACTGGTAATAACAAACCAGTGTCCCCCGATAGGACAGTAGTAAGTTCATGAACTTCTACCACACAACTCCGGGGTTTGATCCCTGAGGTGGACAAAGCAGATAGCTCATTGTGGCTTTGCTCTAAAACAAACAAATCGGCCTGTTGTTCAGGGAACCAAGAAAAAGTCAGGGTGTTCTTATGTCAGGTTAAGACAAGTTACTGGTATTATAGTTTACATAAGTCATGGAAATGTACCCTAGGTTTATTTTTTTATGGAGGTCGGCCCTAATAACATGAAATGTGAGACAGCTCTCTGTACTACATAACTGGTGTAAATCTAGTCATTTCAAAGGAGGAATAGAACAATTTGAAATTCCTTTTTATATGGTGTAATTATTTTATCTTCATTAAACAGAGACCTCTGTGAATTAAATTTGTTAATATTTTCTTTAAAATTTCCTTTGTGGTAAAAATAAAAAACAAAGCAAATAAAACTGAAGTCTGATCTTTCATTTAAGCATATTTCTCTAAGTAGACAGATTTTGGGGAATATTACCCCTCTTCTTCATTATTAACTCTGAGACTGGCTGAAAAGAAACCCATTTCCCAAATCATTTTAAAGCAGTGAATTGTATAGAATCTTTTATACTCCCTGTTAAATGCATCAATCTTAAAATATTTCAAAAAAGTGTTGCTTTATTCTTGTTATTTTAGTCCTAGCTGGATAGTAGAGTAAAAAGTAGCAGTAGTTAAAAAAAAACATTAAAAAGTCAGCTCAAGCTCTTTGTTGAACCATGAGTGGTTTGATTTGTGCCAACTAACTTTATAAGATGTCATATCTCACAAAAATGATCCATTTTTGCTTATACTGGATGACTGATCAGCCAGAGACTGCAATTATGACGTATGTAATCTCTTATTAGTCCAACTCTATAGGTGACAGAACATATCCCAGTGAGTGTTTATGACTGTTGCATTTGGGTGATTAATGTGAAGTTTTGTTCATCTACACAGTTTAACCCTGTAGTTAAGCTTTGGATTTTTGAAGCTGACCACCTGGATTCAAATCTGTGTGATACCACAAAATATTCCCCTCACTTTAAGCTGCGAGTGCATTATAAGTGTGACAGTCAATCCCTTAGTATGCATAACGGGTGGTTAGGTGCTCTTGACTAGTTGCTTTCCCTCTGATCAGTAGTTCAAAATTAGGGACAGTGGCAGATAGTCTCAGCAGCTCTGTGCTCTTTTCATTTGAAATGTTGATTTTTTCTCCTAGTTTAGACAGCATCAGATGTAAAAGTCATCTTTTGTAGTTCAACACAGTTGTTTTTGTATCATGTACTTCATAATGCTTTGCCTTAATAAATATTTATATATAGAAATAGATACTCACATCCAAATGAAAGTAAAGTGTATAGCAATATGTCAACCACACTATATATCTAATATTCAGTGCTTACAAGTTCTTTCACCCCAAGTTGCAACAAGTCCTCAATGAGGTCAAGAACCAAGCAGTCTGAGTTTATTAACTTGACTGTATATCTAATAAATGGGCTGTCCTTCATGGTTACTAGCTCAATGCTAACAGATAATATGGGCCTGTGGGTGTGTCAGTTCATTGTAAATATGATTTATTACAAGGCTGTCAGTTTTAATTAAAACAAGCAAATGCAATTGTAAAATTTTACTAGGCACAAGAAGAAAAACCTGTAAACCTCCATGAAAACTTGTAGTTGTTGTAATAAAGTCCTAGCAGCAATGAATTCAAATTCTTCAATTATACAGTTGGGAATGACTCCTATTTTTGATATTGCTTTTATGATGTTATTGTAGAAACTTAGCCTATAATGAAAAAAATAAACATGGTTGTTTTATGTGGAAGGAAAACCATGTGAAAAAGGGAAATCAGATTGTGTGATAATAGGATTTGTTCAAACTAAGTTTTACCAGCAAAGAATTCTCAGTGTTTTAAGTATGTATCATCATGATTCAGCACTGTTTTGTGCCAGTATATTAGAACACAAAAAAGCCCTTCCAGTTAGCCAATGTGAACATGTGAATCAAATCTCCAGAAAATCCTAAGCCTATTTTCATATCTACACTTTTATCAACATGTTGATATCCTGGCTATGGTGATGTACCTATAAATGGAAAATGTTCTCGTGCTTTTCTAAATTATTTTTGACAGGAAATTTCAACAATTTGCTAACAGAAATTAAACTAATAAGCTTATATTATTATGGTATATAAGTTTCATTATAAGTTGTTATCAGTCTTATTTTAATGTAACATCACACAAAACACTAATAAATATAGTCTGGTTATTTTCCAGACCCAGTCTTAACTTGTTCTTTTTATTTTTAAAAAAATGGGTATCACTTTGGCAGTCTTCTAACAAAGCCTGTCTACTCCCACCGAACTCTTTATCAAACTTTGTCATGTGTCAGAATAAGTATAATCAGGACCATGAGCATAATTTTCAAGAAATTTCTCATGCTTTTCATAAAATAGTTTGCCCTTCAACTATATCAGTTGATCCCTCTGTAATGTGAATGCTGTTTCAGTTAAGAAACTTATAAATAAGCTAAAAGGTGACTTCAAATGAAGGTTTTAATGCTGTACTACAACCTGCATAAAAGTTGTTTCATCATCTTAAATTTTGCATTATTACAGGGAAGCTTATAAAAACTCAAACTACTACACTTATACCATTTTAGATATTTAAGAAATCTTCTAGAGAAATTAGATGAATCAAAACACAAGAAAACCAGTAAACCAAGTGCTTTCAGAAGGTAGACTTTCCTTATTCATGAGGTATTGATAGCATTCTAATATAGAAGGTAAACAATAAAAACGGTTCAAATAGTGTACGGAGAAGATTTAATTTTTGTAATTTGTCACTTATATGTATCAGACTTTACCTTTATTTTAAGTCATTTGTTCTTTGAAATGTAAGTAAAAATTTAAATTTACTTTTGTACAATGATATTTTTACAACACTATTTTATAGATTCTTATAAGGAACTACAGTATTATATATTCATTTTTTTTGTTTTTTATCAGGGGCACAATACTAAAGGACTGTATGGATGAAAACACATCACTTGTGAAAGATGCCTGGAACTTGTAGAAATTCAGCTACATTGAATAAAAATTATGAGGAAAGTGTTTCATCAGCTAATAATGGCACTCGTGAAACATCCAAACCAACTTTGGATATTGATCCTGTAAACAATCATAATGGTTGCCATTCTCGAGATGACTCTTTTGAAAGTTTAGACAGTAGTGGAAGCTCTGGTAGTCATTCCCGTCAACTATCTGGTGACAGTACAGGAGGCATTGGTTTGAAAAAAACTCTTCCACAGGGTGCTTCTACACCTGCTATTAACCCTTTGCAGTTTGTTAAAGTAAAACCGTGTTCACTATCTCAAAAGGTAATCACTTAATTTTAGTATTAAAAGGTAGAATGTAAAATAACATTATAAAATATGTTATCTAATCTGTGTGAATTTTTCACATGAATTTATTACATATTTTATTCATAGTTTATAGCATTATAAAATATGTTATCTAATCTGTGTGAATTTTTCACATGAATTTATTACATATTTTATTCATAGTTTATAGCATTATAACAGCATACTACTGTATATGAAGTTTGTATTTTTTTCTATTACTATTTGTATTTTGACAATCAGGACAGAGAGTTATCTAGTTGGCCCTCGAGTCCTGGAAACTCAGTTGTTTAAATCAATTGTCTTGGAACATTAATGTGGGCTTAATGGGTAGTAAATCAAACCAAGTGTATTTACACTTGGTGTAATGGCTTTCAGTTGTTAGAGTAGTGATTAGGAGAGAGAGTTGTCTGCTTGACCCTTATGTTGTGGAAGCTCAGTTGTTACAATAATCTGTTGTGGAACATTAATGTGGGCTGAATGGGTAGTAAATCAACCCAGGTGTATTTACACTTGGTGTAATGGCTTTCAGCTGTTAGAGTAGTGATTAGGAGAGAGAGTTGTCTGCTTGACCCTTATGTTGTGGAAGCTCAGTTGTTACGATCATCTGTTGTGGAACATTAATGTGGGCTGAGTGGATAGTAAATCAAACTATATCAGTTCACATGCTTGGTGTAATGAATTCCTTGTTGTCAGTAATAAAGAGGATAAAGAATTGTCTGCTTGGTCTTGGAAGCTCAGTTATGAAAGTCATTTGATATAGAGCAATAATATGAATTGGGGGTATGAGGTTCAACACCAGGTCAGGGCTGTCAAGTCAGAATTATTTCAGTTGAATTACCGTGACTGAGTCTTATGTAGATTAGTCTCCATACTAACTATTAAAATGTGGTTAGCGGAAGTGATGTTTGGTTTGTGTAACCCAGTCTTGTGAAGGACTGTCATGAAAATAATAATATGGACTGTATTTTATGTATTTGGTAAAGAACTTATCTTTGAAGTGGACATGTCTAAATACACAGAGGTAACAAAATATTCAAAGGGATTGCATTTCTTAGGCCTTGGCAGAATGTTTTGGACAGAAGCCTCTGTACTCTTTGATTCAACAGGATAATACTAATTGCCACAAAGCACACATACACTGATGCCTGGTTACAAAGTGAAAATACTTGCATCTTGGAATGCCCTCTCAATCTTCAGATCTTAACTCTTAAAAGATATATTTGGAGTAGTTTGGAGAGGTTGATTTGAAAGATTTGACCACTGCTCTCCAGTCCTCTTCAATTTTTGAAACTTCAAAGGAGATAAATTATACTATGAACATGTTGGGATGTGGTATTTCTTAGTGAAGAGTCACATGCAATTTAGTTCACAACCACAATGGTGGATGCAATATTCTGTAGTGAAGAGTTACATGCAGGTCTGAGTCTCTGTTTAGCAATGGAAATCAACAGTTTTAAAATGATAATCTTACTTCTCTGTACACAGTAGCTATTTCTTGCCTGCCTGCCTTTGAGATTTTTTGCATGCCACTAACTTTGACTATTTCCTACCTAAGATGCTACCACCTTCTCTTCTCAGGGATCTGTCTTGATGGCTGGAGCTTGCCAGTACTACCCTTATCATCCCACTACTGCCATCCAAATTTCCATCTCTTTCTCCTCAAAGTGTTCTCCTTAAGCAACAGGGAGGGACTTAATCCCCATTCCTGTTTGTAAGGTGAGTAACTCATACAACAGGACACATACCAAACTTACAGTTTGATCATTGCCCTAGCCACGCTACACCTCATGTCCTACTGACCTTTTGTGTGCAAGTGCTCAATTAGTCATGTCTTTTTCTGCCTGTCTCTGCAACACATTGGCTCATTTTGCCTTAATCTGTTCATATTTCTGTCGAAGCAAAGAGTATACCCTGCATGAGAAGGATGGAGTCTCCCACAAGCATTATCCCTCCAGTAAACCCCTACTATAGGGTGTCACACTCCATGAGTTTTCCCCTTCAGTTGCCTTTTCCAAAGGGAGTTCATCTAGAGATTTGTAATTGCACTGTACTCTCCACCACATTAATATGGGATTCTGTGGTATGTAGAGAGAGGTAAGAATATCGTTTTAGCAATTAACATTTTCCTTACCTAAAAATATATTTCCAATAGATACTTACCTTTCTGCACACCCTTCCTCCCTGCTACTGGTGTAGACATTGTTCTTGCCTCTTCTAAAAATGATGTTAATTTCAAATGCATGTGCTTATAGGGATCTATTTTGCATGGAGGATGTGTCACCCTCCTTTTGGTGAAGGACTTTTCTTGCATGGTGGTTATATCATGCACTAGTGCAGTTCCTGTTATAACACGTCTAAGGTGAGAGATAACTCAAGGCTAATGGCATGCACAAAATCTCTAAGACAGATGCTTGAGGAATACCTGCTGTGTACAGAGAAGTAATGATCTATTGGAAATATATTTTCAGGTAAGGAAAATGTTAAGTTTGTGGCTACCATTGGTCAAATCATCAACTGCTCCACCAACCATAGTACAAAGACCACCAACCAATCATGTCACATCCATCTAAGTCCTCCTAGGTATCATATAAACCCCTGCAATACCTGTACAAGCTGACCTGAAGACAAAAGATGGAAGTCTTTCAAGACATTGTCCTTTTCCATCTTTGTAAATTAGTCCTCTAAGACTTTCTTCACAAGTGTCGCTCTGAACTAGGTTGTTTCTGCCCATTTCACCTTTGTTTGTTCATCATGAATACTCTGTCTAAATCGTCTATAAAAGAATTCAATAAATAAAAATTGGTTTTGGAACTGGAAAATATGGCAGTTAAGTTTTTGTGCTATGTTATAGCAAATTAATCATGTGTTCCTGCACAGGTGTAACATGTTACTTAATGCTTTTCTCAAATGGAATAGCATACCATTTCTGTTTTACTATCATGGGATAATCTGTCTATAAAAGAATTCAATAAATAAAAATTGGTTTTGGAACTGGAAAATATGGCAGTTAAGTTTTTGTGCTATGTTATAGCAAATTAATCATGTGTTCCTGCACAGGTGTAACATGTTACTTAATGCTTTTCTCAAATGGAATAGCATACCATTTCTGTTTTACTATCATGGGATAATCTGTAGAATAGCAATAAAACTATATGTTCAAAGTCTAACTTCGCTATGACAACTTAGGAAGCATAATATATTGATTTATTATGGGGGGAACATATTACATGTTTTGACAGAATATGGGTACATATTAGCATAATGTGCTTCCTTACACAACTAAGTTTGCTATATTTCTACTTCTTAAGGAGTTGCTTTATTCCACAAAAATTTATTATTATTTATAGAGAAAACAGGAAGAGAATAGGTACAAAAACTAAGCCTGAGTGAACTTTTGAGAAAATAAAAAATGATAATTACTTGTATTCTTGCCAAGTTATTTGTTCTTATTTTGAAAAGTTTTACATTTTTGGAAGGTTTTTATTTATGCTACTTTATTTTAATTCCAAGCTAACTATAGATGAAAGTACATATTTTTATGCCCCTGTTTGTTTATTTCCACTGTTATAATGTTTACACATCTTATAGGCTCAAGAACAAATACAATTAGCAAAGGAAACAAAAATAGCAAAAGAAAAAGTAAAAGATGAAGAAGAAGAATGGCAGGGTGTAAGTATAATATTGGCATTAAAAGCATTTTTATTATTTTTCACTTGCTTTATAATGTTTAGTAAGTTCAATATTCAGTATTTAATTTATATTTTGTTGATGTAAAAATGTTATCATAAGGTCGTATTTTTAATATTTTGTTTGTAAGTAATGTTCAGTCTTTTAATTTCGTTTAAAGCTGCTCATTGAAAGTCTGATAAGAGGGAACACAGCTAGTCATCACCACCAAGTTTTCAGCTACCTGTTACTACCAAATAGTGGGATTGATTGTCATATTATAACACCCGTATGTTTGGTGACAAAATTCAAACCACGACCCATAGGTTGCAAATCGAGAATTCTAACCACTAGGCCATGCCAAGCCAAACTAACTATCGAGTGGGCAGTCAATAGGTTTGTTTGTTTCATTGCAAAGCTACACAATAGGCTATTGGTACTTTGTCCACCACAGATAATCAAGCCTCTGATTTCAGTGTCTTAAACTTATTGTTGACCCACCGGGGTGGGGGGGGGACTAACATAACAGTTAATTTTACCCAGCTTCATTAGATTGTACATTTTCATTTTAACTTAATTTGAAGAATGATACTTAAGTGTCAAAATATAAAGATTTGTTTCATATATTTATTATAAAGAGAGAAACGTAATTAAGCCTACAGACTTACAATAGGCTGAGCCATAAAGACAGCATTCTAAATATGTAGCTGATACATTCGTACTTGACGTGTGAGCTCGACATTCTTTAAAACAAGACAACATGGTGTCAAAGACTTTATTAGTGAAAGTGCATGAAATGTTTCTTCAAATACTGTGTAATATGTCACACAGTTCCATAGCTTTCTTGCCTCTTGACCTTTTAATCCTTTTAAGTAGATCCACATTTTTTTATAATGTTCAGATCTGAATGAACTCTGGTCAGGCTAAGACAGAAGCTACTATGTTCCAACATCCTGTTTTATCTTCTGGTTGGTGTTTTATCATGGAGGTCATATGCTGAGAATCATTATTCTTACAGAAATACAAATCCCTGGTCAGTTAGGCATGTTCCTAATTAGTATGTTGCCATAGTTTATTAGGATCCATCTGTACCTCTGTGTTGTTAATGTCATCAATTTTTAGTAACTTCTAACTCCACCAAATGAGATGCCACCCTAAAGTTGTATAGCTTCACCCCAGTGCTTTTTTGTAGCTGTTCTACTTTGGAATTTGTACTTCCCCATTTCCTTTTCTTTTTTAATATTTCCACCACTGGTTATTGTTAAACAATTCAAACTTGGACTCATTGATAGCCACCACCAGGTGTCAACCCTGATCATCTAACTATTTCATTTACACTACCCTCTTCAACCTTTTCTTTTGGTTACCTCCACACAGCAAAGATTTCCTTATAACATCATATTCATTGCAGTTGCATTGAGACTAATTCTTAACCTGCCAGACAGGTGTATTTTTTTCAATCCTATATGTGTATCTCTCCGAGTTTGTTTACAAGATAACATGAAAAGTTTCGTGGAATTTTGACCAAGTTTGGCTAAAAGGTTGAAAATCTGCTTGGACCGGTTGATTAACTTTTGGTCAGTTAGATCTACATTTTATAGATTGAGGAATTGTCTAGTTTATGTTTTAAGATGATTACTGCAAAACATGGAAACATTTTGAGCTAAGAGTTGCACTGTGTGATTGCTTTTATAGTTTCATGCTATCCTCGATGTGACTGAGACACCCATATACTTGTAGCTAGATCATTGGCCTTATCTCTATTGAAATGTCTTCTGTCTTGCAGGAAGTGTATCCCAAGATGCTTGAGATCGGTGGTGGAAAGTTTGAACTTTTTTAACTGAGTTGGTTTACTACAACAATACCAGTTGCTTAAAGTTGCAAAATGTCTTGCATACAGTACCCTCTATTATTTGCAGTTTGACTTCGGTCTATCACAAGAAATAACCATTACCATGTACAAAAGTATCCACTACACACTTGTTACAAGGTATTTCCTTCCTTGGGGTCATGCCTTCTTCAATATACATACTGAGGAAGTGATATTGATGGCTATGTTTGTATATTCAGTAAGCTGATTGGTTGGATAGCAACCAGTCACGGAGTACCACATCAACAAAGCTGTTCCACTATATTGTTAGCAAGTTCATGGGGTGGTTATCATATATATCATACACTCTATATGGTCAGTGCTGTTGTTTTTGTGTAAATTTCAAATCTACTTCCACTACTATAAGTCTCAAGAATTAACAATAAAAAGTGTACTATAGTTATCTTAACATTTATGATTACAAGACTATCTAGAATAAACGATCCAGAAGATTGGTGTATATACAAAAATCAGTAATGGAACTAGTTTGAATATAAATGCATCCAAATAATGGCTATACAAATGATGATCTGTAAAGAAAGTGTTATATATTTTGCTTTTAACCATAACAGGATTACTGTGCATAGTGGAAACTTTCTGATATAATTTATTTGTTGTTACACCAAAGACAGTGTCATAAATTCATACAAAAAATTTCATTTAAATTGTTTTGTGTAACTTTAGTAATTAGAAAATATTTGAGCCTTTTTTTTTTCACATATTTAAAATTATGAGATAGCATAAACATTCTCAGAAAACTGAACAAATAAATAAAAAAATTTTAAATGCTAAAAATAGCTTCTAATAGTTTAGTAGTTCTGATCATAAGTTTATAATTTGTTTTACTACTTACGTATAGAACTTAGACAGTTGGAGGTCTCGTAGAAAAAAGGTCTCTGAGAAGGTAATAAAGAGAGTTGAAGAAATTCGACAAATTGAACTTGATGAGCAGTTGAGACATCAACCAAACAAAACAAAAACCTTCTCCAGGATGATGGAAGAACGGTACGTTCTAGAAATTGAGTCTTGCACAAATAAAATATGATAAAACTTCATTCATGTGAAGAATAATGTTTTTCTTCACCTTGCTAATGCTTATTTATCCTTGCAAGACAGTTTTTATAATATGCTATGTTATGAAATGAATATACAAGGGTTGTCCAAAAAGTGTGGTCTCACCTAAAAAAAATATTAGAATTTATGTTTTTTTCTTATAAATATTAAGTTTGAACCTATTTATGAGTAATCAACATGTAATGTATAACTTAACAAGCTTATTTTGAGTGTTGTGGATTTTTAATGGAAAGAAGATTGAACTTCATGTTATGATCAAATATTTTGTTAAAACGAAAATGACATTGGAAGAAGTCCACCAGGAGTGCTCCAGCATATTCGACAGTTTGAAAGTGGTGTGCCGAGTTAAAGTGCAGTAGACAAAAATGTGAAGATGATCTGAGGTCAGGTTGGCCCTTGACACTGATCACAAAAGAAATTGTAGACAAAGTTCATGATTTGGTTATACGTGATGGAAGAATTGCCATTAGGAAGTTAGTAGAGGAAGTGGAAATCGATACAAGTACTATAGCAAGAATTTTGAGTGATAGTTTGAGCATGAGTAAAGTGCCAAATGGGTTCCAAAACTGTCATCTGAGCCAAAATGGATTTGAGTTGTTATAAGCCAACACCTATTTCAAAGGTTTCAATAGGTTCATAACTGTGGATAAAACATGGGTTCACCACTTCGACCCAGAGACAAAAATGCAAATTTAGCATTACAGTCACCCAAGTCCACCCACCTCAAAATAGTTTAAGTCAAAACCCTCTACTGATAAATTCATGGAATCAATTTTTTGGGATGCCAAAGGCCTTTTACTAGTTGATTATTTGGAAAGGGGTCAAACTGTTACAGGAGATTACTATGCATCCTTAATGAACAACTTCAGCAAGAAATCAACGAAAAGAAAAAAGGATTGTTCAAAAAAAGGTGTGATCTTTCATCAGGACAGTGCCTCGGCTCACAAATTGTGTGTTACTTTGAACAGTATCCATGATACTGGCTTCTAATTACTCACGCACCTCCCTTTCTTACTGGACTTAGCCACAAGTGACATTTTTCTCTTCCCTAACCTTAAAATTTTTCTGAAAGGTCGAAGATTTCAGAGTGATGATGATCTCATACATACCATCCACTTTTGGATTGAGGACTAAGAAGAAAAGTTCTTTCAAAAGGGCATAAAGGCCTTAGAGCACCATTGGTGCTAGTGTTAGACACAGGAGAAGATTATGTTGAAAAATATATCATAGTTGAACCTCTGTATTTTCTTTATAGGTTGGGCCACAAACTTTTCTGACACCCATCATTTATTGTACATAGTGTTGTATTTATTTAGTAATTTCAGAATAATTCTCCAAATGAAGTAAGAAATTTAACGTTTTCAAACTGGTAAAGCAGTTTGTTTTTTACTCTGAAGCTCACCACAGATCTCAGTTCCCAAGCATTCATAGTTACATATTACCAGTTTTGAATACATTACGATTTAAATGTTTTCCAAAACTCGAGAAGTGTGTCATGTTAAAACATGAAATACTAATATCCTGTCAGGGTTTTAAATATGAGTGGGCTAAGGATTCTTCTACGATAGGTGTCTATGACTTCTTGGCAATAAATTCGAACAATAAATGGACAGCATACAATCCACTTGTTTTAAAAATATGAGTGGGCTAAGGATTCTTCTACGGTAGGTGTCTGTGACTTCTTTGCAATAAATTCGAACAATAAATGGACAGCATACAATCCACTTGTTTTAAAACAAGTCATATGTATGTACAAAAATTCTTTACAGTATAGGATATCACAGTTGTATTATTATAATTATTTTCCTTACCTCTATTAAACTATGAAACTCACTTCAGAATATCGCCTATTATGGCTAGTCACTCACATGCCGGCTAACTTCACAGTTTCTAATTATTTTCTGACTGAACTTCACTTGACTTTGCTTTTTCTCTACTTGACTCGCTTGGTCACCTCTGTTTATTCGTTGTTCACTAAGACCTCGAACTTTTTATAAACTATGCAAGCGACGCTATATTGTAACAATACTTACTTAAGGTAATGAGAAAAATACCGAAGCTTCGAGAAATTTGGCATCAATAATACTACAACAATTAAACCACACACATACAACAAACAACTCTTACAGAGTTATGCAACTAAATTTGTCACAACCAACACTTTTAAAACAATCTTCAACACTTGTGTCATGAAAAGTAAACAGTCATTAAATATTAAGTCACAAAATAAACTAAATAATAACACTTACACTAAACAGTCTCATATATCCAACATATTTGTTCTCAGCTCGTAAGAAATACCATCATGTCTTCATTAGTCTCCCTCTTGAGTCTGGTTTTATAGAGATTCAGTAATTAAATGTAGATGAATCCTTGTTTATCAGAAGAAAATGTAAATCATGGAATAACAAGATAAAATGTGTCATGAAGTAATGCTTTAAAATGTTCTGTTTCATTGAAAATAAAAGTTTAATAACGAACAATGCTCCTGAATGTATTGTATTTATAGGTCACTAAAACGAAAGCCTTTGAACTTGCCTATTTACTCAGACCAAGAAGTAGGATACTTAGGTCAGCTTGACTCAAATGAAGAAAGGCAACAAGATGCGATACAATTTGGCTCTAATAATGAAAACAATGCAAAAGACCAGAGTTGGAAGACTGAAGCTTTTCATGAAATACGTAATGAGGTAAGTATACAAAATAAAACTTTGCAACATAAGTAACTATGAACAACTATACTTTTTACAAAACAAAACAATGTTTTAAAAAATTGGTTCTTTTTTCATTGGAATGAATTTTACAAATAGTAGGTTTGTGAAATCCCATAGTTGGGCTAGAGCAAAATTGGTAAATTTCATGTCATCGAACAGTTTTTTTTTTTTATTTTACATTTGTGAAAACATCATTGATAATATCTTAATATTTCTAGTATTACTCTATCATTCATAATATATGTTGCTCTTTTTTTTGTTTTTAAACTAAAATTGTGTAATTATTCAGATCCTTAAACTTTGTAAGTATTACATTATTTGTGCATCAGGTTGTAAGTATTCCATTATTGGTATACCAGGTTGTAAGTATTCCATTATTGGTATATCAGGTTGTAAGTATTACATTATTTGTGTATCAGGTTGTAAGTATTAATACTTACAACCTGGTATATTAATAATATAATACTTACAACCTGATATAATAATAATGGAATACTTATAACCTGAAATACCAATAATGGAATACTTACAACCTGATATACCAATAATGGAATACTTACAAACTGATATACCAATAATGGAATACTTACAACCTGGTATATTAATAATATAATACTTACAACCTGATATAATAATAATGGAATACTTATAACCTGAAATACCAATAATGGAATACTTACAACCTGATATACCAATAATGGAATACTTACAAACTGATATACCAATAATGGACATTATTTGTGTATCAGGTTGTAAGTATTCCATTATTGGTATATCAGGTTGTAAGTATTACATTATTGGTATATCAGGTTGTAAGTATTTCATTATTAGCATATCACATTATAAGTATTACATTTTCTGTCAAGATACCTTACTTCCACTCACATACATAGCTATTCTCATTCAGTGCTGCCCCCTATTTGCAAAAATATTTCTGCATGCCACAACCCTTTCACTCCCACACACCCCTCAATTCACATGTTTTAACTCATTCTCGCATGCAAGTTATCATGTGACACACCTCCACCAATAATAGTGCCACATACCCATGTAACTCGTGACTCCCTCTATGCCATTCTACCTAACTATCACTTCTCGTTTGGCAGTGCTCACGTTCAGGTATTTAGTTTGTGCTCTCTTCAAGTGTTTTTTTTTTGGATCTTTGTATCCATTTCTCTCAACAAGTTTACTATTTGTTATACAGTAGTGATATTTATAACTTATTCCATAGTGGAATTATTTTATATTTCGACCCAGTTATGGAACTTAATATTTCCTTAAAAAATGTTTGAACTATTTATTTATTTCTGCCAACACACTTATGTTGGGTTATTCCTTTTGAATTATGAATTTCAAATTCTAAGTTTCCACTTTAGAGGTTATATCTTCCATCAGAGCATTTACACAGGCTTCAGGTGGCGGTCCTCGACTGGGGAATTATCGGCTTTACTTTGTTGGGAGATCGATCATCCAATGAGCTGACCTTTGTCGGGCCTCGACTCAAGTATTGGGGCCCACACATATTGAACTACGGTCTGCTGACTTTGGAAAGATAAAAAGTTATACTGTTATGGTTTTTGAATAATTTTACTGTTAATATTATTATCTGTAGTTATTTGGGTTCAATAACATAAATTTAGTTAGATTGGTCAATACTATAGTCAAGTTCAGGTTTGAAATTAAAACCTAGTTGTATCTTTTGTCCTATAATGTTAGATTAGGCTTAACATGAATCTTTGTTATTTTAGGATTACCTGTAATTCATCTTACTGGTATATCATAAATTAGGTTAACTATTGTTTTTGCTTCATTACATCTCATATGCATGTTATTTTCAATACACACTTACTTAATTGTACAATATAACATTTATTTCATTTTCCTTATTATCTGTCTTTTATACTTCTTAGTATTAACTTTGTTTATGTGGACCCCGAGAGCCAGGGTCCGCACAGACTTCTTCTCCTGATATTGTACATACTTATTGTTAGGTCAGGGTTTTTAAATTAGAGCTTAGTAATATATTTTTTTCTGCACAGTTCAATTAGGCTTATCAGGTGTCTGTTATTTTCGATTTACTTGTGGTTCATCTTATGGGTAAATCAATAATTAAGTTAAAAATCTTGTGTTTTTTTTTTTCAACAAAAAACACTTACTTACTTAAATGTACATTATATCAACTATTTAATTTTTGTAATTCTTTATAATTTATACTTCTTACAATTAATTTACCTTGTATGGACCCCTTGGGGCTGCCCTACCTTCTCCCGATATTGCTCACCTTCCTCCTAGAACTGCTGAACCTGTTTGGGATGACCGAGATTTTCTCAGTTTTCTTCCACCTGATTATGGCTTGCCCTCTACTGCAGAATCTGATAGGCCTACCTCAGCCTTTTTTAAACATGTTTCACAGTATCATTTCCCCCTCCTTCTCCAAACATTGTTTCATGATAAGCATTTTTTATCTCTCTTTTGGGAGAGGGTACTTACATGCAGACTTTGGTTCATTTTGCCTTATCTTACCATCAGGTAAGTATTCCATTATTAGTATATCAGGTTGTAAGTATTACATTATTAGTATAGCAGGTTGTAAGTATTCCATTCTTAGTATAGCAGGTTGTAAGTATTCCATTATTAGTATAGCAGGTTGTAAGTATTCCATTATTAGTATAGCAGGTTGTAGGTATTCCATTATGAGCATATCAAGTTGTAAGTATTCCATTATTAGTATATCAGGTTGTAAGAATTACATTGTTGTTATATGAGGTTGTAAGTTACCTAGAACTTCAATGCAGGCTAGCACATTAACTATGAGGAAAGAGTTCTATGCATCTGAATTTTATGGATTGACCGCTGCTTTTCAAAGACTTAAGTTTGACACATTGGATCATGTAGTGCCTTGAGCTTGTAAAGTGAGGTTAAACACAACATAAAGGTATCATGTAGGGTGTTAGATCATAATACATGCAATTATTGTTCCCTCTGGATGTACAACAACTGGGAAACTGTTCCAAGCATGACCATGTTGTCCCTTATTGTCCACTATGGATGGACAACTTGAAGAATGTTTTGGATGTGAACATTTCATCTCAAACCAAGTGGTTCGATAGCATCATAGTGCAAGTGTAGGTCTCTAACACAACTTACAACATGTATAATAATTTCCCTAAAAATACTTCTATAACTTTGGAGATACTGTGACACTGTGTAAAATGATGCTTCTTCTCTATTGATTGAATGTTATGAGGAAGAACTGTATATATTACCACACACATGTCCAGCAGATGTTTGAGACAGATTACTTCTAGAATCTGCTGTGGCCAGTCCAAAGCCTTAAGTTTAATCCAGTTTAGCTGTTTTGAGACATTTTGCTATATAATGTGAAGGGGATAAAATCTCAGTAAACTTAAAACTGCATTGCAAGAGAAGTGATAGTCTAGCCATTTCACCAGATGTGTGGCTAGTGTAACAGACTTTCTCTATTAGGATGGCAAAACTACATTTTTCTTGTTAAGTTGTGCTGTCCCAATAATTTTGGTAATGTGTGCACTACATACAGCTCATCAAGACTGTTTAGAAAAGTTTGTCATCTAACTACATAATACTTCTCTTAAAAGATAGCAATAAATAAGAGCCATTATAATGTATAGTCATCTTAGGTTAACACTTTTCTGTAAAGGATTTATATCTATAAAATTAGGGTGTGTACTTTCTTAGTATGTAAACTGAGAGCCATTACAAAGTTCCAGAAGAAAAGTATATTGTACTTCGCAGGATGATCTGATTCTCACCCACAGTAAAATATTTTTATTTTTTCAGATATATTTTCTAAAACACACAAAACAACTAAGCTTAGTGTTCAGTTTTATGTTTTCAAAATATGTTATTTAAATCTAAAATGTTTCTCTTTTTTTTTGAAGATATAATGGATTTATTACATGATATGAAATTATGTCTTTACAACTTGCGAGTTTCTTTATTCAGTGAAACAGTATTAGTGAATCCCAAAATGCCTTGTCATATTATGTGTGGGTGTATGTTGGGTGGTTATTGAATTAAGCTTAGAATAATTTTAATTACATAAAAGAAGGTCTAGAAACTATACTTTCTGCATGGTACTAAAAGATAAGTGAATATTTCACATGTAAAAAGCTTTAATTTAAGTAAATAAACTAATAAAAAGGGCCATTATTTAATTACAATGATAAGATAAGATTTTATTTAATGCCATTTCTTGAAGTATTATTATACATGTTCACATAATGTTATAAAGGAAGATTGCATATTCCTGAAACAATTTACCATTTGTTGGTAGTATCATTAGTACAAAAATAAGTGAACTGTGAACATCAAAGGTTGTCCCTCACTGTACACTTTATAAAAAATTAAATTATAAGGATATATTGACTTTCTGCATTCTAGATTTTAGATACTTAAACTGTTGTTGAAGAATTCTTTTTAGTGCTTTGTAAGCAGCATAAGGTTAGAGTTTCTTCCATACAGATCCAAGTCATTGTTCCTTTTAATGCTTTACGGGTAGTATAGGGTTAGAGTTTCATCTTTAAGACTGCTAACAATTGTTCCTTTTAATGCTTTACGGGTAGTATAGAGTTAGAGTTTCATCTTTAAGACTGCTAACCACGGTTCCATTTAATGCTTTACAGGTAGTAGAAGGTTAGAGTTTCGTCTTTAAGACTGCTAACCACGGTTCCTTTTAGTGCTTTACAGGTAGTAGAAGGTTAGAGTTTCGTCTTTAAGACTGCTAACCACGGTTCCTTTTAGTGCTTTACAGGTAGTAGAAGGTTAGAGTTTCGTCTTTAAGACTGCTAACCACAGTTCCTTTTAACACTTTACAGGTAGTAGAAGGTTAGAGTTTTGTCTTTAAGACTGCTAACCATTGTTCCTTTTAATGCTTTACAGGTAGTAGAAGGTTAGAGTTTCGTCTTTAAGACTGCTAACCACAGTTCCTTTTAACA